GTGCAGGGTCTGCTGGCTGGGTGCTGGCAGGCTTGCACCTGGCACGGGCACCGTAGCCAGCCCGTGCCCCTTTAAGGGGTCTGGGACTGGGAGGGGGGAAATAGAGTTTCCCTGGTGTTGGCCAGAGTGGCCACCAGGGAAAGCTGGGGAGGGCTAGCCTCCCACTAGTTCGTATTAAGGGGCTACATACCCCTTAATTCGAACTAGTAAGTTCGAACTAGGCTTAGTCCTCGTAGAATGAGGTTTACCTAGTTCGAACTAAGCGCTCCGCTAGTTCGAATTAAGTTTGAACTAGTGGAGCGCTAGTGTAGCGCCTATCAAAGTTAATTCGAACTAACGTCCGTTAGTTCGAATTAACTTTGTAGTGTAGACATACCCTAACTAACTAAATACTGTCTATTTCTTATACAGCACATTCCATCATTATATCTCAAAGCACTTCACAATCTTCTTCATGTATTTATCCTCACAACACCCCTGTGAGACAGGAAAATATTATTATTCCTATTTAACAAATGGAGAATGAGGCACAGAAAGGCTAAGTGACTTGCCCAAGGTCATACATGAAGTCCATTGCAGAGTAAGGAATCAAACCTATGTCTCAGACCAGTGCCCTAACCTCTAGATGTCACTGTAATATGAAACCTTATGAGCAGTTTAGTAAACAGGAAAGCCTAAGGAGATTGATGGTGCTTGGAAAGAGACTAAAGCCACATAGGAAATTGCAACTTTATTCATATTCCAAGTCTTCTGAGGAAGCAGTTATGTTTAGCTACCGGGGTCTGATCTTTATGGTGATACTTGCATAATTTGTTTACTTGTAACTGGCAGTGCTGCATTCTCCTAATTCAGATACGCAGCCAATGCTACCATTTCTTTTTTGTTTGTCTGTTGTGACCTGTACACCTGGGTATTCAAGTGTAGCTAGTGAGTTTGGGTGTCTCTGTTTGTGTTATTTAATTTGAGATTAAACGGGTCTGATTTTCAGAGGGCAAGTTCTCAGCACTTCCTGAAAATCCAGCTTCTTTAAGGTGCTTCCAGCTGAACATGCAAAACCTGAGATACTCCAAATCTTTTGAAAATATTAGTTAAGATAAATAAATGTGATAAAATATCAGTATAACGTTTCCTGGAGGTCAGAGTCCTTCCCAAACCAACTCTCTGTAGACTGATGATACTTATTTCTATCTATCGGAAAGGGATAATATGTCAGTTACACCAAAATAACTATAAAATTGGCCTGTCTGATCCTGCCACTTGCTAAGCACCTCCTACAAAGTACTGTGTATCCTCTACTCTATCTGACATCAGTGGAAATCGGGATTCCTAGCATTTCACAAGAAGCATTCTGTGGTTCATAGCAGCAGACCCTTAGCCTCAAATGCACATCCTTTAGATTCTCTGATGGGCCCTGTTTTCTGTGCTGTCCTTTTAACCATCCCCTTCAAATCAAAGAAGTGCCAGGGAGAATCATAGGAATTAGAGCTGGAAAATCTTTATTAATTCATTTTCCATGTCTTTTCCAAGGCAGGATTGTTCACAATAGTGAATTCTTGTAGTTGGTAAGTTTTGCGGCATTTATATTACTATATTTTAAAAGTCTGTAGTGATGTAAAATAAGACACAGCAGCTCTGACTGTACATTGGGTTACTGTAGGGTAGGCTTTCTTATGAGTTGTAATATATTCTGACTTGCTGAAACACATGTCAAATCATATTAGAGATTTATAGGAATCCTTTTATATTTAAATAATTGAAACTAGCCAGCCAAACACAAAAGGACTCCGTCTATCTAGCATCCAGCTAGTATGTTCCCTGCTACCCACCTTAATTATGCCATGGCCTGGCACCTCTGTGATTAAGTTGCATTCTTTGAATGTCCAACTCTGTTAGTTTGACCTGCCTCATTCATTTCTCTCTTCCTTCACACACGTAGATCAACTTGACATCATCTCAATGGCTGAAACAACAATGATGCCTGAGGAAATCGAACTGGAGATGGCGAAGATCCAGAGGCTTCGGGAAGTCTTAGTCAGAAGAGAATCAGAGCTCAGGTTTATGTAAGTACCAGCTCTTCTGGGAACATACTAAGCAAAATTGATCAAAATGGGAGTTTAGGGGTTATTTATCCATTTGACATTTTGAGAAAAAGATTGTCCATTGCTGAATGCTTGCACACTACCACTGGGAAATGGTTTCTGTAGCTGCAAAGGAAGTGAAATTTGGATCCAATATGTACTGCAGAATTTACAAAGAGGATCTACTCTATTGCTTACAAAGGGAAACATTGGAGCAATGCTTCTGGCAGAGCATGTTTTCACACCAGAGCTCACATTTTATTTGGGAGTGAGTATGATGTGAAGGAACAAATACATTCTATTGAAGTTTCACTGAAGATGGTGCGATCTGCACATGAATCCCTGAGGGCAGAATTATCACTTCTCATATAGGGCCAGCTCCTATGCTCATGTAAATTAGTGACTGCATTGATTTATATCACCCGAGAATCTGGCCCTTTTTTTGCCCTACTTATGCACCCATTTTAAAGGACAAATATAGAGCACGATCCTTTAATCCTTACTCATGCAAATAATCCCATTGGCTTCAATTCTCCTTCACTCTTTTCTTTGACTCACTTGTGTGAGTAAAACTGGGTTGGCCTCCTAATCTTTACAACAAATCATGTCAAAATTTTTTTATCCAGGTTTGGAAATTGTACTGTGTTAGTGAATTTCAGTCCTGAGCAAATGCAGAACCATTGTTTACATGTTTTTGGAAATAATAGTTTGCTGGCAGACTCTTTATAGTACTGACTGGAGTGATATTGCAGTAGTAAACAAGCACAGGATTGGTTTTGTCACACCTGCTTCTAGGTAATCAAGTAGCAAATACTTAACTATTGGTTTCCATATATAGAGTTGGGTCAGGCAAAAGTCTTGCCAGGAACACCTGCGTTTCCTTTAACATTTCCTATATCAAACAGTGCGAAGGGATTGAAATGAATTATCCTAGTGAAAGAGTATAACAGTAACTGTCTGTCTGTCTGTCATT